GTTTCGGTGGACATCCCTAGTCAAGAGAAGATTAGGCAGAGATTTATTCTTCAACCAAGTTGAAAACCAACCCTTTAAATACATTTTCAAGTAGTACGATTTAATTTATTAGACTATTTCAAATGGTTGCTTCCGACTTCTTAAATTCAAACCATTTGTTTACGAAACAACTGTTGGTGAAGTGATTGTTGACAAAATGAATCAATGTTTTATAATAACGTTTATTTTTACGTTATCAAATTCACGATTTTGATTGGTCGATCAACAATTGCGTAGGTTAAATTTAATGATTGAATCAATTAATCATTTATTTTATTATTATAATGCTATGAAACACTTGGCGCAGTGGTATTTTTATTTTTTGACTATCTTGTATAACGTTGTATAATGATAAATGATTTCATGGTTTGAATGTGCTCACCATCTGTAAACTCAATTGCTTGAAGATGGACAGTGACATCGTAGAAAGTTGTGTTCCGTGCGCTGAAATGGCCTGAGAGGAATTTCTCTACGAAAGAAACGGAAAAAAATGTGGGGAGGCCGTCCTATTTGTATTTTTTTGAGTTAATAAAATAGACTATTGTCTTGACCTGAGTGATGTGAGTAAAAGACACAAATCTCACTGTCACATTTTCGTTTAAAAACTTGTTCTTAATCTTAAATAAGTTAAATAAATTATAAAAATTAAACGTACAGTGTGGATCATCTATACTCAAAAGTTAAAATTTTTGAAATATTATGTGATCCACACATTGGATTTTAAAAAAACCACCACCATTCAATTCAGCTTTAAAAAAGGAGTCTATAAATCTAAAAAAAAATTTGTCTCGAATTTTCTTTTCATAAGTTTTTAAATTTGAAAGTTATGCTCAGAAGCAGTGTTTGAAATTCGACTGCGCCTTTACATAAACTAATCTAATTTTAGAAATTATCTGCGGTTAATTTCCATATTTGGTTAGTGCGCGCCGATTCCGCCGATTGAATTTCGAACAGTGCTCAGAAGTGCAACAATAATTTTCGTGAATCTCATGACCAAATTTGGTAATGATTTTCTTTTAATGTAAATATGTTCGTTAAACTTTTTTGTTGTAAAGAACTTTTATTTATTAATAAAAAAAAGGAAATAAATAAATCAAATAAATCAAATGTATGTTGTAAAAAATATTCTATGAAAAAAAAGTTGTTACACAAAATTTACTTAGTCTCATTTCTTAAATGTATAACAAAATTCGTAATTTTTAAAATGCTAAGACTCTGCCAATTTTCAGTTTAAGAAAAAACCAGCCAATAAGTTTTGAAGCTTGAGTCATGAACAATAAAACTTATCGGTTAAGTTTTTTAAAATGATATAATTTTTTTTTGTTTTAGTATTTTGAAGTTGACCAATTGTTACTATTAGCAATTAATGATTATAGATGATAAAATAAGGTTATAAAAATAGTAATAACTAAAAATAGAATAATAATAAAAAATTAAGAATTTTGGAATTAGTTAATTTCGGCCAAAAGAGCCTCCAAATCTAATATGCAAGTTATTTTGCAAAAAAAAAAATATATAACGGATATACATGCTATGGTAATTATTTTGCCAAAAACGTAATACGTAATACGTAATACGTAATTACGAAATTAATTACAAAATTAATTACGGGTGACGAAATCAATTACGGGTGACGAAATCAATTACGCGTGACGAAATCAATTACGAATGACGAAATTAAATGACACGTATTATTTATCTCGTTATACTAGTATAATGACATAATTTGACAACTTTTTTTAGAGATATAGAATTTATTCTGTTATAACAACATGTCAGTATAATGGAGAACCAATCAAAATCATTCTCATTTCTGAAAAAA